CTGGGTGGCGCAGTCGGTTAAGCGTCCGACTTCAGCCAGGTCACGATCTCCCGGTCCGTGAGTTCGAGCCCCGTGTTGGGCTCTGGGCTGATGGCTCAGAGCCTGGAGCCTGTTTCCGATTCTGTGTCTCCCTCTCTCTCTCTGACCCTCCCCCGTTCATGCTCTGTCTCTCTCTGTCCCAAAAATAAATAAACGTTGAAAAAAAAAAAAATTAAAAATAAATAAATAAATAAATAAATAAAAATATACCCCCTCAAAACACAGAAATACACAAAAATAAACAAAAAACCCACACAAAAAATGTGCAAGCGTGCTTTGGAGGAGAGAGGACTTACTTCCACAGGGGTGGACTCGGAGATTTCGCGCAGTATCACGATGCAGCGGTTCTGATTTGGCCTTACTTTTTCTCCCTTCTCGTCCACTTGGACTAAAGGTAAAGCTACAAAGAGAAGAAGAATGAATGGTAAAACACAAATACTAAAGCTGACTAACCATTTGTACGCTGTTATAAACACTCCTGTGCAGTGTGCTACATTATATTTACTAAATGCACCGAAGAAACCCGCATACAGTGGGTCACTGTGACACAAACTATCAGAAGTTTTTAAACCCGTCCTGCATTTACAGTTCTCTAAACAAAGGAACATGGGAATTCAAAAAGTCCTTTAAGAGCTACAGTAAATTTAACACCCTGTACCACAGATTCTAAAGAAAAACAACTAAATGGAGATCACAACTCAGAGTTAACTGGCTTCCTATTTCCACGAGTCCCTATCATAAAATAATTTTCTGTCCTATTATGACTTTCTATTTTAAACTCACAAGAAGGTGCCACATGTGCCTCACCCAGCTTGTTCCAGGGACGATACACCCACCGTCAACACAAGGAAGCTGGTGTTGGGGCAATGGTGTGCACACAGGGACAGGCCTGAATCAGACCTCACCAGTGCTTACATGCACTCCTTTTCGTTATGTTTTGTTTTTGGTGTCATGTCTACGAAACTGTATTGTGTACGATCAGAATCGGGGCTCAGTGCTGTCCACCCCGACGAGCTCAAGTTAGCAACATCAGGAATGGAAGAATGACTTTACTACAGGTTCTATTCATATTTAAAAGGATCATAAGGAAATATGAAAAGCTCACACTAATAAGTTAGACTACTTACATGAACTAGAAACATCCGTAACAATACACACCACCAAAGCACACCCTAAAAAGACAGTCACCAGAACAGGCCTGGATCTAAAAGAGAACTCAAGGCCCAGACAGTGTCCTTGGAGAATCCTATCAAATATTTAAGAAAAACATAAACCAATCCCACAGGACAACCTCTTTCAAAACACCAAAGGTAACACACTCCAATTCAACCCATGAAACCAGAAGTTCTCTGCTCTCCAATAAACTAAACAAAGCCATCAAAAGCAAGAAAACTATGCACCAATACCCCTGTGAATACAGATTAAAAATTCTTACCAAATTTTGAATTGAATCCCACAATATTTAAAAAATGGTAATAAATCATGACAAGCAGGATTTATCTCTGTAACGAAAGGTTGGTGTATTAAGCAACCGAAAATTAAGCAATGTAATTCACCACGTTAATGGAGTAAAAAACAAACATAAAAAGCCATACAATTACCTCACATATACAGACAAAGTATCTGGCAAAATCCAACATTACCCCCCAAAATACTCAGCAAACTAGGAATGGAAGGGAAACCTCACTCAAGAAAAATCAGCATCTAGCATCACACTTACTGAAGACAGGACAAAGCAAAACCACTGTCCCCTCCATGCCTGGTCACCACTGTACCAGAGGTTCGAGCAAGGGCAGTCAGGCAAGAATCAGTATATCAGAATGGATATAAAGAGGGAAAACTCTTTATATTCATAGGCCTATATATTCATAGGCCAACAGGCTCATTTCTATGCAGAAAATCTGATAAAATCTACAGTTTAACAAATTTGTAGTATGCAAGATCAATATACAAAAATAAATTACAGGGGTGCCTGGGTGGCTCAGTCGGTTGAGCATCCGACTTGTGGTTTGGGCTCAGGTCATGATCTCATGGTCTGGGAGTTCAAGCCCTGTGTCAGGCTCTGTGCTGACAGCCCGCAGTCTGCTTGAGATTCTCTGTCTCTGCCCCTCCCACATGCGCTCTCTCTCTCAAAATAAATAAAGTTTAAAAAAAAAAAAAAAAGAATTGTGTATCTACATACTAGCTCCAATTGGAAATTGAAATTAAAACATTATTTAAAATTGTGTCCAAAACAGGAACGGTTATAAATCTGGTAAGATATGGAAGTCTCTACACTGAAAACTGCAAAATATTACCAAGAGAAAAAATTTAAAACTGTAAACAAATGGAGAGATACTCTGTGTTCATGGAATGTAAAACTCACTGCTGTTATGATGTCAATTCTCCCCAAATTGATGTATGGATTCAGTGCAATCCCAGTAAAAATACCAACTGGCCTTTCTGAAACTGAAATGTGGATTCTAAAAGCCATATGGAAATGCAGACCATTTCGAAGAGCCGAAACAAAGTTAGGAGATTTTGCACCTACTTTAAGACTCCCTATAAAGCCAGAACAATGAAGACACTGGTGCCGGTGTTCAAACCTATAAGCAGATCAAGGACACAGGGCCCCGCGTGTAGGGACAGATGATCCCAACAAGCGCACAAAGCACAGCTCAGGGGAGAAGGGAGTCCTTCCAGCAAACGGCATGGGGACAGTGCACACCCACATGTGCAGGGGTGGAGAATTTAGATCCCTACCTCGAACCACATACAAAAATTAGCTTCAAATGGAACACCTAAAAATGACCTAAAAATGTTAACCCTACAACTGTAAAGCTTCTGGGAGAAACCTTTGTGACTTTGGACTAAGCACAGATTTCTTAGGTACAACACCAAGAGCAAGATCCATAAAAGAAAAAAATTAATCGAGGGACTACACAAAAAATTCAAAACTGTTTTTCAAGAGATACTATTATTATTAGAAGAATAAAAATGAGAAGCTAGAGACTAGGAGAATGTATCTGAGCTTCTATCTGGAACACAGATAATACACATCTCAAACGACCCCCCCACCCCCACCCAATCTCCGATATAAGGAAGGTGGTGGGTGGAGGGGGCGTGTGAACAGACACTTCAGCAAAGCCATAAGGAGGGCCAACAAGCAGGTAAAAAGATGGCCCGGTGCCACAAGGCAGCAGGGAGACAGAAACCAAAGCCACGATGAGGTGTGCGCCATGCGCCACGAGAACACAGGAAACAGAGGTGCCTGTGCGCAGCAAGGGCCTGCACCTCCCACCCTGGGAATGGGCTGACAGGTTCACAAGCTGCAACACATCCAGCTGCTAACCAAGACGGACGGAAGCCTCAGTCCGCATGGAGACTCTCACACCAGTGCTCAAGGCATTAACTTGTAGTCACAACCCAGGAATAACCAAGCCCACAGACTGGGAGGTGACTAATCCAGATGTGCTCTATCTACTGCATGGAATACGGCTCAGCAGTAATCGTGCTGAGTGTCAGAAGCCAGACTGGGGGGGGGGGGGATGCTATTGGATGACTGATTCCATTTACATAAAGTTTTTAGAAAATGCAAACTAGTCTGTAGCGACAGCAAATGAGTGGTTGTCCGTTGGGGGGAGGAAACTCCCGGGGGTAACAGGAGGGTCGTCATCTTGATTCTGGTAGTTGAGTGAGAGTGTGTGTGTGTGTGTGTGTGTGTGTGTGTGTGTGTGTGTGTGTGAGAAGATGTGCAACTTCCCTAATGTACACTTAAAGCATGCATATCTAAGGTCTGTAAACTCTACTTCAATAAAGCCATAAAAACCAAACCAGCAGAAGGGACTGGCAAACCTCTCCATGCCTCTCATACCCGTCCTGTCCCAGTCCATGTGCCCCCTTAAAAGCCCCTTTACCCAGGGGTCAGTCCCGCTCAGGCACGTCCACTCTCACACCTGCACCTCTGAGCCGAGGAGACACAGTTCTGTTCTCCACACACCTGAACTTTGGATCCACGGGAGCATCTTGTCCACATCTGAAATATGCTTTCAGATTCAGCATTAGAACTTTAACACTGATTCTTACTGAAAACACAGGACCAGTTTACTTTACTGGTTCTAGTGGCCACGTTGTGGCTCTATCACAATGTATTTCTTCATGCTCTGGTGACAAATATCTGAGTCTATTTTTAAATTAGCAACTTTAACTGCATGAAGTATAAGAAAAAAATTTGAACCAGCTTTCTGTACCATGCACTACACACCATGCAGAGTATGATATAAAAACAGAATTTATGCAATTCAATCAACACTAGAGTTCTGGTGTCATAGTAGGAAATATTCAAAATGTCTACAGTGGATCTAACTTTATCTTGGGCATTTTGGGGATAGGGTAAGCTTTAAACCGAGATCTCTGCTCACAAAGGCTTATTTACATCACCCTCTTCAGAACAACAACTAACATGCTAAGCACACTCTATTCGTCAGGTTATTACATGTGCACATGCATCGGTAACGTGACAATTCAAGACCCTCTGCCGATACAGTACTGGAAGGGGAGGCGGCGGGGGGTGGAGAGGGTGACAGGGCTGTCTGTCCCCGGAGAGAAACGGCTCCATGAGGCAACCACATGGGGCAATTAAACATCCTCACTGTCTGCACGAACGACTCCTAGCCAGCATGCGCCAGCTGAGAAATGATCCACGGGGCAGCCAGGCTTCCAAGGAATACCCAGGGGAAAAAAGAAAAAAACCTACATCTGGGATTCCAAATAACAGGCAAAGAGTGTTAACAGGGTCACGAGCTTTTAGTTAGGAAAGCCGCCGGCCTCTGCACGTAGGTCGGACCAAAACGCACTCCCACGGAATCCTGTTCTGAACGTGAGACAAAGAGACACTGGAAAGCATATAGCTATCTTGGGAAACAGTGGTTACAATTTTCAGAATTCAAGCTTCATAGATGATGTTTGCTAGTTTCTTCACTCCCTGCTGCAATAATTTCATGACCTTATGACATTTTCCTAGGGGCAGAAAGTACAGAATTTTACCTCCAACTAAGTTTGGAGGTAAGATGCTCATTCTGTTCTTCTATTAAGTCAAATGCACGCAAGAAAAAATCATCACCGACTGTTAGCCACCCAGCTAAGCCAGGGAGTATGTAAACACATCTGCCTAAGTGTCTGTGATGGGAAGTCACAGTGGTGACACGGGGAAACGGGGTTTTAGTTCTGGCATGACTGAGGACCAGCAGCCCTGAGAAGGGAGAGTACGGAAAGAATTCATCTGGTGCCTGCAGTCGTGTTACAGAAAGTGACTTTTTGTAATTAAAAACAAGCCCATTTCAAAAAGATATCCAGTGTACTGTACACTTAATTTAAAACTCATCCCCAGTGAAGCCGTCCTGGGTGGGAGGATGGGATGGAAGCATTACAAAGGCCGTAAGAGAACCGTGGGCAGTGACGGTCTCACTGATGCGTATCTCCCTGCTTCCAAACTGCCCCAACTGTACCCTTAAATACATGCAGCACACTGTATGTCAGCAACACCTCAGTCACGTGGTTTTTATAAAAACACGAAACAAAATGTCAGGTTGTAGAAGCCTTCATCTGCAAAGCAAACCAGGACACCAGTGACCACACCTGTGGCATGCCAGACAACACCTGAAATATCCACGTTTCCTGAAGGCCTGCAGGCCTCGGATATAATGTTTAAACCTCCCTCTGATATCGCCAAATGTCCACAAAACAACTTCACATACATCCTTTTAGAGAAAAACCGTAGTATTTCACCAAAACTTCAGCAGGAAGTTAGTATTTAAAGAAACCCTCTTTGTCGGTAGAATGCTAATTAAAACGTATTCTACTTTACCCTGAACACCATTATCTACTTTATGGTTCACTAACATCACAGCTGTCATTAACCTCCACATTAGCCCCTCTCACGCCCACTACCTACGATCTGGACTACACAGGGGGTTGGGTTATGGAGCCCCTCAACGCCCTCGCCACACCCACGAGCCACTCAGCAAGGCCAGGAACATGAAGGAAGACCCCAGTCGCCATCAAGTACCTTGCACCCAACGGCTATTGATGTACAAGCTCACACAGCCGTCAAGACCATTTGTGAGCCAGCCCAGACCGCCATTTACTTACACCTCAGCACTTCAACAATCAAGTTCATGTCAGTACTGAGCTTCTTGACGTGGTCCAGGTTAGCTACCGTGGTGATTGGCACGTACTGATCACTGTCCATCTGCGATATAAGGTACATGTCACTAGCAAGGTTCTCCCTGCAGAGAGAAGACAACAGCTTTGAATTAACCTTCCTTTAAAAGCAAGCTTCGGAAGAAGCAGGAGTGTGGCATGGGAGTACTTCAGAGTCAGATGAGAGTTCAAACCCCTTCCATCATTTGCCATCTCTCTGACCTCATGTAAAAATTTTTACAGACATTTGGAGAGGCAGGGAGGACAAAAGTATACTGCACTTGTTACAATCACAGGGTAAGCCTTTGGAAACATATTTATAGCTTATCTTTGTTCTAAGAAGTGTTTGAGTAGCTTACTAAAGATACAAACCCACTTTTTTAGGTATGAAAATCCTAAGAAAACTACGAAAAGGCCAGGAAAGGCCGGTCCCCAGAGTGCTCGCTGTTCAGTCTGGAACACGTACCAGAGGAGCTGCAGACCCAGTGGCAGCCAGGTTACAAAGAAGGAAACGTGACCAATGACATGACCCACGGGGTCCCTCCAAAGAAGCTGCAGGTACCAGCAGTTCAGAGGAAGGTGAGCCACTTGCTGCTGTCTGGCCCATGCTGCAAGCTTCTGGTAAGTCTCCATAACCAGGACGGCGTGCTCAAAACCTCTCAGCACAGACACACTGGTTCCGCAGCAGAGGCTGAGGACAATCTCTAAGATCCACGAAGCCACACAGCCACAGACCCGTGGAGGGACCCGCTGCTCCACCCCCACCTCTCAGGTGGCCCAGGGGGGCGAGAGCAGGGCTTGAGCAAGGCGCAGACCCAGCTCCTCCAGCACACAGCCTCACAGCCCAGGCTCACGGCCTGGCTCTCCATCTCAGAGCACGCCCTCAGGCAGGGTGCGGGGTGGGCAAGGAAGGAAAGCTGGGGCCCCACCCGGCCCTACCCCTCCTCTCCCCACCGTGCAGCCCCATAGTCTACGGGGCCCCCATCAGACGCTCTGAAGTCCGAAAGCAGGCCCAGAAAAACACTTTAAAAATCACTATCACTGATGGGAAACTTTACATGTGACACATCAGTTATCTTCATGCTCAAAGAAAATTACACTTAACCCAATCCCATCCTCTTGTATGTATGGTTGTCGCTTTGAACTTTAAAGGTTCTGCTTCGTTTGTCAAGAAAAAAGGTATTACTCAGGAAGTTGTTCTCAGAAAGAACAACTAAAACTACGAGTGGCGCACACACAGAACGCTTTGTTACTGCAGTTTGGCAGACTATGAGGACTACTAACAGCAAATTGTTCTCAAACTTCACTGTGCTGAAGAATGTCTCTGTGAGGCGATGACCTATGGCCCCGCCTTCAGAGTCTGATTCTGTGGGAGGGGGGGCGTGCCCAGGACTCTGAATTTCAAAAAGCAACCCAGGAAATGATCATCACGATGGATCCATGCAGACGTGCGTGGAACACCGGCCTAGATGATTATGTTTGGTTCTCCACTGTGTCGAAGGCCAGGACTACTCCACATTCTCTACTTCCTATTAATAGCTATACACAGACATAGACACCAACAGACATACCCCCTCGTGTGTACACAGTGTCACATCTGTATAGAAAAACCGGCACAGAACACTCCAGACAGCAGGGATGAGAAAAACCACTGGCGTCCTTACCTAGACAAGCAGAACTCCAATGTCTTTTTGAGTACTTCTCGGGGGTCCTCCTGGGTTTCTGGTTGAGACTCATTTCCTCCTACATAAAAGCAATGATCAACTTAGGAAAACAGGCTTAAAATTTACCAAGCAGATGATGCTGCATAGCAATTCTCATGATTTCAATGTACATGTTAATTTACCTACACTGTGCCTTGATAGTAAGAAACTTGCTATTTTACCTACTAAAAAAAAAGAAATCAGAGGCAAAAAATTTAAAACCCCCTCTCCCCCAAACAAAAACAACGGTTTCAAAAATAATCTGAGGGATGCCTGGGTGGCTCAGTCGGTTAATAACGCATCCTACTGTTGACTTCAGCTCAGATTATGATCTTGTGGTTCTTGAGTTCAAGCCCCATGTTGTGCTCTGTGCTGGCAGCGTGGCATCTGCTTGGGATTCTCTTTTTCCTTCTCTCTCTGCCCCTCCCCATTTCAAAATAAATCAACATAAAAAAAAATATTATGAGCAGTAAGATTTATTAGCAAAGTTTAGAGGTCCTTCCCCCCGACCATCCTGAAAATAAGTGTAAATTATTTAATTCCTTGTCTCAATTCAAAAGGCCTTTCAGGCAGACTGCAAGAACACAGATACTAAAACCAAAATGAAATATAAAGAAAAGAATCAAAATAAGAAAAAGGCAAATACAGGCCAGGAAGATAAAGGCTGGGGATTACAAGCACATGGGCCATAAGGATGATGCAGTCTCTACACTAGAGCCTTATGAACCTGCTGTTAAATGTCCAAGCAGGCATGGGGCACCTGGGTGGCTCAGTCAGTTGAGCATCCAACTTCGGCTCAGGTAATGATCTAATGAGTTCACAAGTTCGGGCCCCGCGTCGGGCTCTGTGCTGACAGCTCAGAGCCTGGAGCCTGCTTCAGATTCTGTGTCTCCCTCTCTCTCTCTGCACCTGCCCCACTCACGCTCTCTCTCAGAAATAAACAAACATTAAAAAAAAAAAAAAAATTTTAATGTCCAAGCAGGCAAAGTTCCAAGTAAGAAGCCTCTGGGCCAGAGATCCTACTGGAGGATACCAAGTGAGCAGACCCTCAACAGGAGACAGACTGGCCCGAACCTCTAGAGGCGACTTCTTCTAAGATGGTGGATGGCACAGTGGACAATGTCTGAGCACGTGTCCCACGAGGCACCACTCACGGACCAGGGAGTGAGCTGGCACGCAAGGTGAGGTCCTGGCACCCCTGCACCTGCACACCACAAGAGCAGGATTTTCACACTGGAGTCGGGGGTGATGCCCCTGCCCTTCCCCCAGGACTCTGCACTCCAGGCAAGGACCCCATTTTTAGGTGGCCAGGATATCAAAGGCACCAAAACAGAGAACAGTTTTCATACACTTCTACATAAATCTGCACACATACTCACGTACGTGGAGTTTTCTCACAAGAGACACCAGTTTAAAAGTCAAAGACTGACAACAGTAAAGACAAAGTGGGGCATTTACTGAACAAGTAAGCACAAACTCTCTGCTCCCAGCGGGAAAGGCGATCTGCAGCTGAATGAGTCAACATGGAACGGAACATCAGGTGGAGTCTGACATGAAGGAGACTGCCACCGTGCACGAGGAGAGACTGCCCAGGCTGCTCCGGACATGGCAGCCACTACAGCGGTGGCACAAAGCAGAGGCCAATGGAGGAGACGGTGGGCCTGGCGGGGATCAGGGGAAGTGCGTTCTCCAGCAGGGGTGCCGCCAGAGCACGGGACTAGAGGTCAGCACGTCTGGGCAAGTCAACGGGAGCACACGATGAGGGCACAGAGGCCGGGAGGCGGCAGTCAGAGCCTGCAGGCCTTGTGGGCTACTACAAGGAGATGAGGATTCTAACCTAAATGTGATAGGAAAACAATTTTCATCTTGGAGAGATGTCTCCGGTCTGTAATGAAGACGGACAGTGAGGCACAGGAGGGAAGAAAAAAGCCTGGTTAGGACGCCAGTGCAATAATCGAGGATAAACTAGTATTTGGGACAACTCCAGGTAAGGGTGGGACTTCAGCCAAGAACACAGAAGAGCGGTGGTCTAGGACCGACCCCTGGGCAGGCCAATCTCCCAAGGAGAACAGAGAGGGTGTGGCCAAGGAGGGGACATGAAGTCAGCAAGAAACACAGGACACAGCAAGGTCAAGGGACAGAAGAAGCCACAGTTCATCACTGGAGGCCTGGATAAAGGCAGTCACAGTGCTGTTGATGAGCCTGGGGCAACAGTCTACCTGGATGGGGCTTGAGAGGGCGTGGGACACGAGCACATACAGGCAGCTGGCCCCGACAATGCTTCTGGAGAGTTCTGCTAGGGAAAGACCGGGTGTAGAGGGCAGGCTCATCTAACGTGAGAGAGAACAGCGCTATGTGGAAGGCTCCTCCTATGGCAGAGAAAGGGTTCACGAAGACCCTGAGAGCACAGAAAAGAGTCCCAGACAGAGACTGAGGTGTACAGGTGTCAGGGTGGAAAGTGTGCTTCTGATGGCTCCAGTCTTCACAATTGAGACAGACGTGAGGTCATCTGCTTCTAGGCAAGATGGTGGAACTGGAGGTCCCCCCCCCACCAGCAACACTTCGGCATCCACCCTCGGACAACAGTGCCCAATGGGAGCTCTGGCGTCCAGGGAGAAGACTGTGAAACCTGGGTACGGTCCAAGGCTGAGCGGAGCCGGTTGAGGAGGCAGGCTCTGCATCCAGGCAGCTGACTTGCCGGAGGCCCCAGGTACAGACCCAGAAATGCTCTGCCCCTTGAGGATTCCACCACACCGTTTGGCTTGGGCCTGTCACCAGCATCATTGCTAAGGACCCCAGGAGGAGCCTGGCCCACCTGAGTCCTGGGTAATCAGCACAAACACCTCGGTCCTGGCTGTGGGCCCCAAAGTGGGCCCAGCTCCAGCCCCCCAGGCTGCAGTCCAGGAGTCCCTAGAGCAAGCCCAACACAGTCAGACTGTAAGTACCACAAGGGCACCAGAAGTGGGCTCCTGCCACTCTCCACCACAGTCCGTGAGCAGGCCTGCTGGCCAAGGGCCCCCCTGGAAAATACCCAGTCAGTGCCTCTGGAGACAGGCCAGCCGACCCAACCTCAGGCTGACAGCAGGTTCTGAAACAAGCCTGTGACTTGGCTTCAGTCCCTCCCAGCAGCCCACAAGCAGCTGTGCCCGCCCAGAGACTCAGCAGGAGACACAGCCGTCCCTGTCCCCAGAGCTCCCAGGGACCACACAAGATCCATAGCCAGATTCCAATGTAAAGGAGACGTACAAATGGCCTGACAAAGGGTCCAAAATAATCATCTTTTAAAGAAACTCAGTGAGGGGCACCTGGGTGGCTCAGTCAGCTAAGTGGCCGACCCTTGATTTCGGCTCAGGTCATGATCTCACAGTTCGTGAGTTTGAGCCCCGTGTCCGGCTCCAACTGATGGTGTGGAGCATGCTTGAGATATATTCTCTCTCTCTCCCTCTCCTCTCCCCTCTCTCCACGTGCACGCTCTCCCTGACTCTCAAAATAAATAAACTTAAAAAAATAAAATAAAATAAAGAAATTCAGGGAAATCCAAGAGAACACAGACAACAGAATCAGGAAAATGATGCAAAAACAAAATAAGTTTAGTAAGGAAGAAGAAACCATACAAAAGAACTAAACAGGGGTGCCTGGGTGGCTCAGTTGGTTGAGCGTCCAACTCCTGATTTCGGCTCAGGTCATCATGCCAGGGTCGCAGGATCAAGCCCCACATTCAGCCCTGTAGCCCTGTGCTGAGCCTGTTTGAGATTCATATTCACCCCCCCCCCCCGCCTGCTGGTGTTCTCTGTCTAAAATAAAACAAATAAACAAAAACAAAAACCAAACAGAAACGCTGGAGCTAAAGAACACATGGACAGACCTGAGAACAGAGTCAGACATGCAGAGAGACTCGGCAGATGTGAGATGGGTCATGTGACATTAGCCAGTTAGAGGAGCAAAAAGAAAAAAAAAGAAAAGAAAAACAGTGAGGAAGTCTATGTGAGTACTGGGACACCATCTGCTGGGATTCTGTGCACTAGCATAAACTGTCTGAAAAAAACAAGAAAACAAACCCATTCATAACTGCATCGAAAAGAATAAAATACCTAGGAATAAACTCAACCAAGGGGTGACAGACCTGTACCCTGAAAACTTTAAGACACTGATAAAGAAACTGAGCAAGACACAAATACATGGAAAGATACTCCATGCCTGTGGATTGCAAGAATATGGTTAGAATGTCCACACCACCCAAAGCAATCTACAGATTCCATGCAGCCCCAACCAAAATTCCAACAGCATTTTTCAGAGCTAGAACAAACAATCCTAAAACTCATATGAAACCACAGAGACCCTGCACAGCCAAAGCAATCTCAAGCAAGAACAAAGGGGGCATAAATGCTCCCTGATTTCAAATTATATTACAAAGCCAAGTGATCAAAACAGATTGGTATTGAAATAAAAAGACACACAGATCAGTGAACAGAATAGAGTCCAGAAATAAACCCACACATATAAAATTCAACTGATTTTCAACAAGACTGACGAGAATACTTAGTGGGGAAACGGTGTGTCTTCAACTGAACAGTGCTGGGAAAATGAGGCAGCCACATGCAAAAGAATAAAACCGAACCTTGATCTTACAATACGTACAAAAATCAACTCAACACAGACTGAAGACTTAAATGTAAGACCTAAAACTATAGAACTCCTACAAGAAAACGTAAGGAAAAAGCCCCTTGAGATGAGGCTGGGCAATAATTTTTTTGGTCTTGCAAAACCATGCAAGTGGGACCACATCACACGAAAAGCTTCTGCTCAGCAAAGGACACCATCCACACAATGAAAAGGCAGCCTACAGAATGGGAGAAGATATTTATGGGATCTAGACCTCTTTGATAAGGGGTTAATATCCACAACATGTAAGAAATTCATTCACAATAGCAAAACAAAACAAAAATTTCATTAACAGTGGGCAAAGGACCTAAAAAGACATTTTTCCAAAGAAGACGTACAGATGGCCAACAGTCCATTAAAAGATGCTCAACATCACTA